TATAATATAACAAGAACGAGCTACACGGGGCCTCCTCAATCTCATTAAAGGGCAAATAATTAACACAAAGATTACATGAGTTGGTGTGTGCATGGTCACAACGAATAATTTACACTTGTCTGTGTTAAAGTATAGCCTCTAAATTAACCTTGGATGTACATTCGAATCAAGGCTTGGTGAGGCCAATGTCATAAGGAACGTGAAGAGCCTTGAGCCAAACCGCAGTGTTGGAGGTGGGTCCACCTTGCAGGAATTGGCCTGCTGTGAATTGGAGAGCTTCGTTCTTGCTGATCAGGCCCTTGTAACCTGGCCACTTGACCCTTCCCTGAACATTAGCACCGGGTCCTTCGTTGTTGTACTCAGCATAGTACAAGGTGTCGAGGTACATGCTTCCCTCCCAAGGAATCCATCCATCGGGATGAATAACATCACCGATTCTGGATTCCATCACCACTGTCTTGGAGTAAGCCTTCCATGGCCTTCCCAAGTATGACTTCAATTGGAACCTGAGGGGGAACAGAGCTGGCTCCGGCACGATATCGCAGTTTTGGATCACAATTCCGGTGGGCATGTTCTTTTGGGCTGTGCCGTCCGCCGTCACTGTGTTGAATTGGTTGTCCAATGGCTTCCTTAGAATGATTCTAGAGCTCTGGATCAGTGTTGGTGACACCCCAAAGATGAAGTCAATAGTACCAGATATGTCGCAGTTCTTGTAGAATTGACGATTGGTTTGAGCGTACAGGGTGTCTTGGTTTCCCACGATGGCGCAATCGAAGAAAGCCGACATGTCTCCTTGGTTCCTCAGTGCCACTGCTTGGTGCTTCTCAGGTCCGGCGCTGTTCACAAATGACATGTACTTGGCGATGAACCCATTTGCAGTGTTGGCTGCGCATGATCATCATGAATATATCATTTTGGGAAAATTAAATGAAGTAAAAAGGGAACACATCAAAATTAAAATGCGAATAATGGTTGGCTGACTCACCAAAGGTAGCTGTTTGCATTGTCTTGACCCCATCAACAAAGTTTTTGTTTCCGGTGATGACAGTTTTACCTGCGCCCTCACCATACATAAGGATATTCACTGCATTTTTGGGAACGATGATGTACTCCTGGTATACGCCTGCCTTGACGAAGATCACGTATCTGCCGTTTGCACCGTTTTTGGGATAGGAGGCAATGGCCTCTGCAATGGTCTTGAAGTTTCCACTGCCATCCTTAGCCACCACGACATTGGGTTTCACATGGTGTCCCCTGTGCATCTTCTGCAGGAGCTTACGGTCGGAAGCAGAGAACCAGGTAGGATAACCTTCGCTGTCCACTTCCATAAGGCGGCGGGATGCAGGTTTCAAGTCCAACTTCAACCCAAACTTGTCGAGGATCTTGGCCAGATCAGCGACAATGTCAAGGGCTATACCAGTGATCTTCCCCACGCCGTCTAATGCCTGCTCTTGCAACTGTGACTTGACCTGCTTCTCGCCGTCGTTGTTATCGTCAAAGCCATCCATGCAGGCCTGCTGGTAGGAGATGACGGCGGAAAGCCAGTTCCTGAAGTCAGGGGTTTGGTCGGTCACAGTTTTGATATCGTTACGCAACAAGTCGGTAGACGATTGAAGACTGTCCATGGCGAACTGGAGCAAGTCCTTGCAGTCATCAAGGGCCATCTTAAGGCCTTTCTCGCCATTGCCATGATCCACACTGAGCCTGTCGCTCATATTGAAGGCCTTGATGACGCTGTTGGTGGTTGCTTCCACTACCGCCGTTAGGAACGCCTTTGGGTCAGAGGTGTCGTTCACATGGCCGAGAACTTGTTGGCAAAACTTCGGGTCGTCGGTGTTCTGGCACATTTGCGCCACCGCATTCTGATGGGAAGAGATCTGACCAGAGTCACCATTCTGCTTGTGAACCACCACCACGGTGCCGATGGCAACCCCCACCACGAGGATCAGGGAAACTGCGGAGACGAGTACTTTTCCGCTCATCTTTTATTATTATTATTACTACTACTACTCAAGACCCTCAAAGATGGTTTATTCGATCCCCCCCTTTCAGAATCCCTTTGTTTCCTCAGGGGAGGCAGATGGGATTGAGAGAGGATGCTTTCTGAATGCGTGTCCTTGGGGATTTTATATGCACGTTTAGGTTCTATAATAAGAAAGAGAAGCTGTTATTTGGGAATGACGGGTATATTTTGACCATTTTAGCGGTGGATTAGACCTCCATTTTCATCTCCTTGACCATCATAACTTGTGTGGCTTTTATTTAACTTCATGGCCGCCTCCCACGTACAACCAAGCGTTTCATCTCTCCATGCCATATCTGTGATGTATGATATCCATCCTCCAACTACTTTGCTTTTAATTCTGATATTTCAGCTGTCTGACATCAACTGATTCCATTCATATAATTTTCTATTACCACTAAATTGACCTTGTTTAAAAATTAAATATTACTTGAATATATTAAAATGGCAGGGTTATTATGTTCATTCTACGACGAGAAGGTGTATAAAAAACATGTTCAATTTTCTTTTAAAAAGAGTGACCGTTGCGCAAGCTTTGATTTGGAAGGGGAATATTTAACCAACCTTCGATTTTCCAAACATTTCATCGATTTTCTTTTAATATACCTTTTGAAATAACCCGTGTTGACTATGAAATATCAATGGTTTGTTCCACCGCTTGTTTAGGTTATAACCCTATTTTATTTTTTTAAAAAAAAACACTTGAATAATTAACATGCCTGTTTCCAATCAAAATTAAAGTATCTGAATTTGAGCGAGCAGTCAGATTAGGACAAGTGGACGAGGTTTTATTCAAGTTAAAAGATCGCAGCCATTTGAGAGAAGAAGAGATGAAAGTCATATATATACACATACACACACGCGCACACATAATAGTCTTAGTAAATATACAATTTGTGAATTTGTCAATAGTTGGATCTGGTCGAGTATTTTGTCAGCTGGTTCAAATGCGAAAGTTATCTATTTCACCATATAACTTTGCTTTTGGTGTTTTTTGTCTCATTTATTTTCTACTACATACTTGTTGATTTGGTTTTTTAATCGGTTGTTAGCACTTATATATACATTTGAATGAGACTCTTTTATTTTAATTACATTAGATTCAATTTCATTAGTTTGAATGACCTGTTATTTTTACTTTCATGTTGAAAGATTTTTCATGTAAATATGGGCGTCTTTTATTGCAGGTGATGATATTTTTTTCCCCCGGCTGCGTATAAGTCATTGGGTCATCTCATCATCGACAAACTGTTTCTATTAACACTATCAAGCAGCAACAGAATTAACTGCACAGGTCTTCCCTTCTGTCTTTTTCTTACCAATTTTACTCACCTGGCTTCTAAATCATTTTATCAAAGTTTCGTTCAACGCGAACACAATACAGCAGAAACGCGTATTATATGTACCGACTTCAGATATAATGAAGTATTGGGTTAGTAGATATATTGATACATACATACGCATTAAAATCTATATTAAATATGCTTTCATGAACAATAACCTAAATTTCATGTCATATACTACCTTCAATCCTTAATATAAGAGTTAAGTAATTAATTTGAGTAGACTAAAAAAATTAGTTAAATTAGTTATTTGTAATAAATATTTGTTGTCTTTTTTAAAATATCCTTACAAATCAAGTGTCATTTGACGACATATATAATATTTGTAACTACTACACTAATTACATTAAAAAATGGATAAGTATGAAAACAAAATAGATTGGTGTCTTATATTTAAGACTAAAATTGAAAGTCAAACAAGTTCTTATATCAAATGTCAAATGTAGTACTCCTCTGGTTCTTATTATAAGACCCAATTTGACTTTTTATTTGGTCCTAATTATAAGACCCAATCCATTTTCTCTCTTATATTTATGCATTTTTTTCCAAGATAATCCTTCTAATAATGATAGTTTTAGCCAATATACTTAATTAGCAAGGATATTTTAGGAATGACAACACTTATTTATTATAAATAACCAACTTAACTTACTTCCTTAATCTCCTCAAATAAGTCAATTTGATCTTATAATTAGGACCGGAGGAGTATTATATATAAACACGGAAAAACATGTCTAATTGTGTCAATGGCACATCTCTGTCAATATCAATACTCTTAAACGCCTAAATACATGTCCATAATTTCATGCTTCTAGGTTCTCTGTGTGACAACCCGTTGATCATGATCCGGTGATGAGTGCAATATTTCTTTTTATTTGGTCAGTTGCGTGTGAGATATGCTCTTCTCCTAACCAAGTGATTCTAAGTATCCGGATTTTTATTTTTAGTAGTAATTCACCTAAAGTAAAAGGAAATAAATAAAGAAAAAGGCATTCCATTTATATAGTTGTAGATATCATAAAACTGAATTTATCACTTTTCCTCTTCTTGTTTCTAATTTATATATTAGTAGATCTCATAAAACTGAATTTATATAATTAATGATTTGGTTTTGGCTTTGGAAACTCAGTTATTAAAATATTGGGAAATTGTGTTGTGCGTACTCGGGAAGAACGTTTTCTTTAGCTATAATATGATGTAATTATTATTAAATATGAAATAAATATTTAAAATACTTGTGTCGAGTGACTAATTTTTGTATATAATAATAGATTTATTAAAATTGGATAAAATGTTTTGGCCTGAAAATTTTTAAAAAATAATCACTTTCAATGATTTATTAATAATCAAAGTTGTGATTAAGCATCTGTTTGATCATGAGAAATCAAAGAAGCCCAAATTATTTCATTCAAAAAAAAAAAAAGAAGGAGCCGGCAACATTTTTTTCAAGGGCAAACACGGAAGTAAACTATGGACACGTGTGCGAGTAACATGCAAGCCTATATAAGTTGATGAAAGAATGTATATATCATAAAAGAATGATGAAAAAGAACTTTGAGCGTGTAGATTTACACTATATCACACACAAATATATCCCTCGAAGGGACGACGACTAGTGAAGACATCTGAAACGATCAAGGCTTGGTGAAGCCAATGTCAAAAGGAACATGAAGGGGCTTCATCCAGTCCTCAGCTCGGGAAGTGGGACCACCTCTCAGGAACTGGCCGGCGGTGAACTGGGTAGCTTCAGCCTTACTGATGAGGCCCTTGTAACCTGGCCACTTAACCCTCTTGGCAACATTAGCGCCAGGTCCTTCGTTGTTATACTCTGCGTAGTATAATGTGTTGAGGTAAATGCTTCCTGACCATGGGGTCCACCCATCGGCTTGAATGAAGTCAGCTATTCTGGATTCCATCACCACAGTTCTAGCATATTGCTTCCACGGCCTTCCCAGGTAGGATCTAATCTTGAACCTCACCGGGAACAGAGCGCTCTCTGGAGCAATGTCGCAGTTCTGGATGACTGTTCCTGTGGGTGCGTTCTTCTCGGACGTGCCATCTGCCGTCACTGTGTTGAATTGGTTGTCCATTGGCTTCCTTACGATGATTCGGGAGCTCTGGATCAACGTGGTGGACATTCCAAAAATGAAGTCAACGGTACCGGAGATGTCGCAGTTCCTGTAGAATTGACGATTGCTTTGAGCGTACAACGTGTCCTGGAAACCCACGAAAGAACAATCGAACATAGCCGACATATCTCCCTGGTTCCTGAATGCCACTGCTTGGTGCTTTTCGGGACCCGCGGTGTTCATAAATGTCATGTACTTGCCGATGAACCCGTTTGCGGTATTTACTGCGTGCAGGCACAATCATTCAATTACAACTATCATCATCACGTATATAGCAATGTATGTATGTTTTGGGTAAATATGCATCAGAAAGGAATAGATTGGCAAGTTACCGAAAGTAGCTGAGTTCGATGTGGTGTAACCATCGACATTGTTTCTGTTACCGGTGACGATGGTTTTATCAGTGCCCTCACCGTACATAAGGATATTGACGGCCGTCTTAGGAATGACGACATACTCACGGTAAGTACCAGCCTTGACTTGGATGATATATCTTCCTTTGAAACCCTTAGGATAAGAGTTAACAGCGGCCATGATGGTCTTGAACTGGCCACTGCCATCCTGGGCCACCACAACGTTGGGCTTGATATGATGTCCCCTTCCCCTCGCTACGTTGGCCAACAGCTTGCGGTCAGCGGCTGAGAACCAGGTCGGATACCCTTCGCTGTCCACCTCAAGAAGACGACGAGAAGCAGGGTTCACTTGCACCTTCAAACCAAACTGGTTCAGGATGCTTTCTAAATCAGCCATAATATCAAGGGCTATGCCGGTGAGCTTCCCCACGTTGTCCAAACCATTCTCCTGAAGCTGAGACTTGATCTGTTGGGCACCGTCGACGTTTTCGTCGTAGCCATCCATGCAGGCCTGTTGGTAGGAGACGACAGAAGCGAGCCAATTCTTGAAGTCAGGGGATCGATCGCTCAAGGATTGGACGCTGTTGCTGCCCAGGAAGTCAGTGGAAGCCTGGAGGCTATCCATGGCGAATTGGAGCAAGTCCTTGCAGTCATCGAGGGCCATCTTGACGATGCCTTGGGAGCTGTTGCCTTGTTCAACGCTGAGCTTATCGCTCATGTTCAAAGCCTTGATGACGTTGTTGGTGGTGGCTTCCAAGGCGGCGGCTATGAATGCTTTTGGGTCTGAGCTGTTCCGCACGCTGCCCAGAGTGTCGTGGCAAAGCTTTTGGTCCTCCGTGTTCTGGCACATTGCTTTCACCGCATGCTGGCGTTCCGTGACCTGAGGGTCTGTGTTCTTGTTGTGAACCACCACGACGGCGCCGATCACCACCCCAACCACAAGGATGAGGGAAACCGCAGACACAATTATTTTCCCGCTCATTTTTGTTTTGTTTTTAATCAATTTTTCTTTTGTTCCCCCCCAGCCCCCTAATGATTTATTGTTTCAAGGGGAGGATGACGGATGCTGCATGGAGGTATGCATTACTTGTGTTCTTATATACCGCTCCAGCTTCCATAATTAGGAAACCAATAAAATCTGCATTTTGCATGAAGAATGACTGGCCCGTACGTACGGACGCGAGTGTCGTTCATTCCTTGTTTTGAGAGGTGCTGCTATTTCTTCTCTCGCATATATCCTGTAAAAAACACTTATCCTACCTATAATAGGGGTTCATTGTTCATTTTTTTTTTTTTTAAAAAAAGAGAGGCTCCTTGTCTTTGTCGGCTGTCGGCATAAAACCTTTTATTTTGCCCAAAATTAGCTGAGATCCCTTTTTGTGCTCTCCTTCTCTCAAGTTGCCCAATGTTACAGGATAGTCAAATTGTCGATCTAGGGGGCTTCAAATAGCTTTTTCATTTTACCTTCAATAATAGGATTATACGAGGTTGATGGGGAGTCTGAAGCATAAAGGGACTGTTATTTTTTAAGTCTAAATATGATAAACATATTATTTAATAGAAACACATTTATCTCGATAAAAATAATACATTTGATGAGTTATTATTGAAAAGCTGAATAATTTTATATTTTAGTTGAAATTTTGTTTGTATATCGGAAATCTCACATCTAATATAATTCTTTTGTAAAATATCTGAAAATAAATCGATGTAAAATAAAAAATTTAAACAAGTCACCAGTCATTTCTTTGATATCCCACTCTATACATAGAAACCGTTTAAATTTCTCGTGTGCACATTCCGTGCAGGAAGGGGGTGTTTGGATAAAACCAAACCATGGTTTGGAGAATAGCTTCTGGAGAATAGATTTTTGGGAAAATAGATTTTGTGAAAAAGTGATTCTGATAAAGTGAGAGTGTTTAGATAGTTGTTATCAAAAGCACTTTTTATATGTGTAAATTACTAAAAAGGGCATAAGTTATTATGACAATTACATAAAAGATAGATTTTATAATATATTTGAATTTGAAGAAATAACTTTGTTAATAATATATTTTTTACCAACATAATTAATAATATATAAGAAAATATAATTAATAAATAATTAATATGTATATATATATTTTGAGAAATGAATCATGATCTTCAGCTATTTTGAAAGCTTGTTGAGTTTTTTTTAATAAATATGGCGTGTGTGAAAATAAAAAAAGAAACAAGGGAGTACAAAGTTCCTAAAAATATGGCTTGGGGTGAAAACAAAAAATATTCCTCCCCGTTGATGTATTTAAAAAACAGAATTGCATCTCTTATACATTTATTATTTTTAATTAATTTTAACTATTAATTTTAATACTTGGGGAGTGTCACCTACCTCCTGTTTTGGTTATCAATGGGGAATGCCCGTTGATAGTTTTCATTTATCAATTTAAAAATGTTAATTAATAACCTTGAATTTTTAAAAAAGAAACTGAAATTGTCAATTTTTTTGGCAATGTCCGAAAGCAGTGTGTATCAGGGGATCCAAAATGTTAAAAAGTTAGAACACGGACGACTGAAGGCTGACACTGTTTTTTCTTTCTGAGAAGTGAAAATTATCTGCTTCTGTGGAAACCATGGTTTCTGGGCCAAAACCATGGTTTTAGCTTTTGACATGGTGTTTGTCAATCTGTTTTTTCAAACCATGGTTTGGAATGTTATCCAAACAGGGCCTTAAACAAATGGATTGCAAGCCCCAAAATAAAATTTAACTTTCTTTAAGGGAAAAAGAAATCCTTAAACCGGCGCATCATATGACAGAGCAGGGCGTAAATTGTGATTCGGTTCGCTTTGGGAGTCAAGTAGCGTACGGGCCAATGGCCCATTAATTACACAAAATCTTCGAATTCTTTTAATTCAATTCTTCCTAAAGGGACAAAAAACTAAATTCACCAAAGGCAATCACGGTCGTGATAAACGTTACCTTTAAAACGAGATGTTATCTTAACCTGGTGCAGGTGGTTTGACATCCTTTCCTCGAGCAAAATCTAGCTTCAAGTTTTATGCAGATACTACAATCAAGACGTCTCCTACTCCCATGGCAACACCGTTGAGGTCCATCAAATTATGGCAAATGAGGCAAAAGCTTCTGCTCCAGAGCCTCTACTTCTCCCCAAGTATAAATTATTAATAATAATTGATTAGCGTAACGATTAATAAATATAAATAATCACAAAATGAAAAACAGTCTTAACATTGACCTCGGCATTGGTGAAGTTTTGCATCATCCGAACCTCAGAACGGTCGATGGACATGATAAGTAGTGACATCACACTCGTCTTAGGGTGTGTTTGGATGAAACCAAACCGTGATTTGAAAAAGTGATTCTGGAGAATAGATTCTGGAAAAAATAGATTCTGTGAAAATAGAATTGTGATTCTGAGAAGTGAGAGTGTTTGGGATAGTTGTTATCAGAAGCACTTTTTATATATACAAATTACTAAAAAAAAAAGACATAAGTTAATATGATAATTACAGAAAAAATAGATTTTATGATATATTTTAATTTGAAGGAATAAAATTGTTAATAACATTTTTTACCAACATAATTAATAATACATAAGATAATATAATTAATAAATAATTAATGTGTATATATATTTATAAAATATAAGATTAGATATATTTATAAAAAAATATGTTTAAAAAAAATAACAAGATACATATCATATAGGCCCTCACACTCTCCCTTTTTTCTCCAAAAGCAAAAAAAATTTTGCTTTTTCCAAAACCATGGTTTGACCCAAAACCATGGTTTTGATTTTTGGAGGGGGTGTTTGGGTGATCTATTCCCCAAACCATGGTTTGGGGTGTCACCCAAACACACCCTTAAGAAATAAGCAATGTACAGAATATTTCAGACATATTAATGAATTATGTTTCAATCAAGCAAGAAACGTCTTTGATCATTTCTTTCTGATAAAGAATGGTCCATTAACATGATCTCCGCTTTGAGAAGACACACCCCTCTATTGCAGCGTTTTTCTCCCGAGCAATTAAGTAGAGATGGCAAATATCTCAGCAGAAAGGCATGGAGTAAACAGTGAAACCAGGTGACAGTAAAAAGAATAAGACGCGGCAGGGAACATCGACGAACCTCATGGATTATGAACAAAATGAATGCGGCGTAAACAATGGCATATATAACCATGTTCCATCTCTTATATTTTTTGCATGCACATTGTGCATATGCTCACAGATACAGGGTGAAAGATACAGAGATCAATTTGGAGTATCACCAGCAGGTCCAGGTCGTGCATTTAATAAAGGTTGAAGAGCTTTGACTACAATGCTCATGTTTGGTCTGAAGTCAGCTTCATATTGCACGCATAGCGCAGCAACAGCAGCCATCTGTAATGATCAAAGCATCGCGTGGTTATAAATCAATTTAGCTATATGTTATGTACATTAGTTATTCTCAAATCTCAACTGCAGGTGTATTGAGGGCGTGTATGCATCCTATAAAAGCTCAGGGTATCTCATGGCTTCAGGAGGCATTTTGGAATTTAAAGCCTCTTGCACTCAAACCTAGAAATTTAACTAGAGAATGTCACTGCCTTCCATTTGATCAACTAATTATTTATTTAATTATCAATTTCCAATTAAAGAGAGTGATAAAACCGAGTTTTAGATTCAAAATTTTGTCCCTTGCATAACACCAACTTCCAAAGTAAAACTCAACGATTATGCCACTAGCCATCCGCAGCAAACTAATTGGCATGCTCGTGCATTTTGATAACTTCCAAGGTCCTATTCAGATCTACTAAACTTCCGTACAGTCCACACAACCTCAGCAAGGAAATACCACATAAAAATAGGAAGAAATCAAAGCATAGTAAAAAAAACTGGCTAACACCTTGGCAACAGCTTTGGGTGGGTAATCTCCTCCTAGTCTTGTATCAACACACTGCCTGACTTTATCTTCACTGAGTTTTGGTGTAGCCTGAAACACAAATCACTAGGTCTGAATAGCAAATCATAAGAAAGATGCAAAGATCTCTTCCTTTTCCTTTTACTGCCCCAATTGTGCATGTGTGTTTTTGTCAGGGTGGGGGGGGAGTGGGAGGGGATGGTTTCTATGATTTTACCCAAGTAACCAGACTCTGCTGTCCACGAGGTAGGGTATGATCCACAGGCTTCCTTCCAGTCAAAAGTTCCAGAAGGACAACGCCAAAGCTGTATACATCACTTTTGGCATTCAGTTGTCCAGTCATTGCATATCTGCATCCACAAAATTAGGCAGATAACTTTACAGACTGTAGGAAAAACTCTTCACGGTGCTTAATTTGAAAGAATGATTTATCTGTCCAAATTGACCCCGATCAAATTTGGTCAAAAACAATGAAAACGTTTGAATTATGGAATTTGATACTGCTTTTTGATGAACTCTAGCAAACACTACGCCAGATTTCCAATTTCTTGTCCCAATAATTATTCAGCAATCAAGCTCAGAATTAGAAGGCGTACAATGACTTAAGACATAAAATTAAGGATATAGAGCAATAAGTGACAAGATTTCTTACTCTGGTGCATGATAACCAAAGGTTCCTAGGACACGAGTGGAATGAAGACGCGCAGCCATATCAGGAGCCTGATTTGACAAATCAAAATCTGCAATCTTAGCAACATCATCGTCAAAAATCAGTACATTGCTTGATTTGATGTCTCGGTGGATATGTGAGGATCAGCCTTCTCATGCAAGTACTCAAGCCCTTTTGCAGCCCCCACAGCGATCTTTACTCTCTGTGCCCATGACAGGACAGGACCAGGTTGGGCTCCTTTAACACCTTTTCTGCCTGAATGTAAAATGGCAATAGTAAAATATCACACCAAATACATCTCTTAAGTTGACATGGCACCAATGTTAGCCAATATCACATTAAAAAATGCCAGTAATCTTCTAATATAAAAAACTAACTTAACAAAAGCTAAAGTTTCAAAAGAAGC